CACTGATATTTTATTTGAAATGTCAGAAATGTTTATTTGTAAATTTTGAGTTGTTTATTGTTCTCACTTTAACAGATGAAAATAAACGAGTGAGATGGGGGAATTTTCATTTTTCATTTAGTTGCATAATAATTCTGCACACTAATAGTTGCCCAATAATTGTGTACACATAGATATGCTCCTAAGAAAGCCCAAACCTCACTTTTACTTTCTTAAATATTCAGGTTTGAGGTTTATTAACATTTTGGATTGACTGAGAGCACTCTAGTTGTTCAATAATGAAATTCATCCTCAAAAATACAACTTGGTTGCATAATAATTCTGCACACTAATAGTTGCCCAATAATTGTGTACACATAGATATGCTCCTAAGAAAGCCCAAACCTCACTTTTACTTTCTTAAATATTCAGGTTTGAGGTTTATTAACATTTTGGATTGACTGAGAGCACTCTAGTTGTTCAATAATGAAATTCATCCTCAAAAATACAACTTGCTTAATAATTGTGCACGCAGTATATGAGACACACTTGCCAGAATGAGGCAAAATAGCCAGATGTCCTCCTGGTGGTCTGAGCTACAATTCTCACAATCCTTTCCCCATTCATTTCCCAGGTCAACCCACCATCCCCTCAGGCTTGCAATCCCCACGGTGAGGTTGGAAGCATGGCCAATAACTGAAACAAATTAATCCACCTGTCATATCCAACCTCCTTTTCCCATCTCTGCTCATGCAGGCAGGTGGCATGATCCATGCACAGGCAGGAAGTATTCCAAGGACCTTTTCGTAAGTGCAAAGGATCTGTTGAATCACGGGGCCTCTGGGTTTTCAGGGCAGGGAGAGGCAATCACCTACAGCATCAACTTGCAAATGACCTTTCTTGGTGAAGCAGGGCTCCATTCTTCACTGAGATCAGCACACAATCCCCTCAAGATGCCTCCAGCCAGCACCAATCAAGGGCGTGGTGTGAATCTGGCCACACAAGCCAATTAGACAATGATGTCCACCCCAAATGAAGCACCTATCCAGTCGCTGCCCAAACCCCCTCCAACAAAAGAACGCCCAAAGTTGTCAGTTCCCCAAGTTGTCACTGGAACTACCACAAAGATGTTTTTCCCTCACCCTCAGTCAAAATCTGCTAGGAAACTCTAATCCTAAAAGAGGCCAGATGCACAGCTATGCTAAAAATGCTGCTGAGGTAGTTTTCTAGTCAAACTCTCCCTTGAATACAAACTTTGTTTTTACTAGGCCTGCTTGTATTATGCCTTTTCTTGTTTAATGTGTTTTATACTTTTTAACAGATCAGGAGAATCAGAGATCAAACTCGGTTTAAGGTGTGATTCTGATTCCTGTATGGTGTGTTTTGAATTTGGTACCATTCATTTCAATAAAAAAGCTGTAACTTCTCAGAACTTGTCTGCGGTGACCAAAGTTGTCTCTAAGGCGGCCACCCTTTCTTTTCAAACCAAATCAAACTTTATCACGACCAAAAGAACAGTACAGAATAATACAATAAAAAATAAGGAGATAACGTGATGGGGAATGAGAGTCCACTTGGTGTAGTGGTTAAAGGCCCCAGGCTAGAAACCAGGAGACGGTGAGTTTTAGTCCTGCCTTCGGTTCAAAGCCAGCTGGAGGACTTTGGGCCCCTCTTTCCTGGCCCCAGGAATGGGAATGTGGCTAAGAGAACTGCAGGGCTCCTCCAGGCGGTCCCCAGGAGTCAATACAGACTTGGAGGCACCCCCTGTGCAACAGGAAAAGATGAGGAGGGGCAAGCATACAAACCCATCATGGTATAATCAAGACTGCCACAACAGACACAAAAGCCAATATAACAGGAGAATCACATCAATAAATCTAAAACCACTATAAAATTACCTTGCATACATGATACTAAGCGATCTGAGGAGAGAAACAGTTATTCTAACCTTTTGTGGAAACTGGCATCTGGGTCAGACCAGAGAGAGGTGTAAACTGCCTGGGGTGACCCGGGAGTCCATTAGCGATAGTGACAAGTGGCTTCAGCCTCCCATCGCATGGTTGCCCAATCAGAGCCCCCATGCAGTATCGCTTGGTACGTCTGGGGCTTGCTTTCAAGAAAGCTCATCCCATACAGACATGCAGCAAGGCCTCGGGGAGGAAGACATGTGTCAGCGGACAGATGAGATCAGGAGCCACCTGTCTTCATCGTACCTAGTTCAGGTGCAAGGACGCTTTAGAAGCCCAGTTTAACCAGTGATTCTAATGCCTGGGTTGTGTTTCTTGAATCTGCTTTCAGTAAACAAGCAGCAACTTTTCGGAATGTGTCTGTGTCCTTTTGGAATATCAATTTTCCTTGGGCACCCCCATTCAGTGCCCAAGAGAGTTCATGGGTGTGATCCATTTAAAATCCTCCCAGAAGGATTTTGCCAACTGGATTTTTACTGATGCAGCCATAAAATTGTATGTTTGCTTCTATAGCCAAATCTTGTGATTAATTCTGATTTTTTTTTCACACATACTACCATACTCTCCCGCTTTTCCTACCTGCCTAACTTTACATCAGTCAAACCTCTTCCAGTATTTTCAGCCCACCCTTGAAGCTTCTCAGCCAGTCCTAACTAAGAGGAAATAATGAGAGCAGTTTGACATCCCCCAAGAGGGAACGGGTTCTCCTTTGCCAGATGAACGTAAGTGTTCCTGGCTGAGAAAGAGTCAGATTGCTGACTGCTTACTCCAGGGCCTGCCACAGTGTCTGGATTTCTTGGCCTTATTTATTTTCAAATACTTTCAATGGCTTTTCCTTGTTAACAAAAAACCCCAAACCCCAGCCACTTTGATTCTGGATGACCAATGTGTTGTCCAGCGTTTGCCTCGCCGACTTTGCCCTCAGCTCCTGATTTACCCCATGTGGCGCAGGATCCCACCCCTGCCTCTGCTAATTCCATCAACCTCTCTTTCCTGCAGCTCCATCTACAGAGAAGGGCTGGTGAAGAGCCACAGTGCCCTGGCACCAGGCGCAGGGGGAAAGGCTGCTTCCTGAAGGGTTCCTGCAGTGTCCTCCTCTCTCTCCCCCAGGGAAGGAGCAGATAGGACAGTCCTCTTGCATGCGTAGTCCCGGCCAGAAACCAGGAGTCAGTATCAAAGCTGGGAACAGCAAGAGCACCCTAGAAGGCTTTCCAAGAAATCTGCAAAGCTACTAGAACTTAGAAACAACAGCTACAGAAGAATCTCCAGTGATTCTAACTTCCCCCCCTCCCGCCTTTTCAGCAGGAGAGGGGGATTCCTTGGCCCAGGAGGAGGAGGAGGAGGAGCAGCAGCTACGTCCCAGAAATAGCATTTTTGACGTTTTGCTGGCTCGTGCCTTGTGGAAGCCTTGCTAAGAGGAGG